ATGGGTTTCATGATTGCGAAAAAGTTTTTGCTGTGATTTTCACTTTTTCTAGTTTGATTTCTAATAAAAGTATTTTTATTTTGATCTTAAACAAACCAGAAAAAAAATCCCGGCAAGACTTTTTGGCACTTAATAATACCACATTAAAATATTATTAATGGATACTTTATAATTAAGAGAATGTTCATAATTTTCAAATCAGTATGTTGAACCAATATTAGGTGAGCTGTGAATATTGACTACTTGAATTTAATCCCAGCTTTCTTTGAAAAGCGTATATCTAAGAAAATAATTTAAGAAACATGACAGTAGCAAGAGGGCTTGAAAGTCGTCTTTGATCTTTGAATTTTTTGGGACATGCAGTCGTCAACCTACTTTAACTTTTATAATTCTTGAATCATTAAGCACGAAATTCTCCTAGTCCTGGGATTTCCAAAATATGGTCTGCTTTCTTTTCTGCTGTCCCCGGATATATTACGAATTTTGTTCAGATTTCAATTTTGTTAAATACAACAAAAACTGTCTAAATCTGAACGAAATTGTTCATATCTTGGGAAATATTGAAAGCACAAAAAGGCAGACCACATTTTGGAAATCTCAGGACTATGGGTATTTTGTGATTACTATTACTAGAATTGTATCTATATAATTAGGTTGACAAATAAATGCAGAAAATTATTTCAACACTCAAAGACGACGTTCAAGTCGTCTTGCTACCGTCATGTTTCTTGGGACACCCTGTATATAAAATCAATTATGTTTTGTTGCTTAGGCCCACCCCTTTAGAAAATAAAAAAATTGTAAATTTACACAAAAAATGTTCAACTGTTCATTTTTGCAATTAACTTTAATTGCTAAATTTACTTAAAGTTTATTCTTTCATTCATTAAAAATATATGTCTTCTTCAGAATTGAAAAAAACGTTTTATGAAAATATTTAGTTTTCAGTGAAAAAAGGATTGTTTTAAATTTTTTTAGAATGAGATATTTCTTTGAGCATAGGTTTAGAGAGGTGTTTTTTTGTGGTGGGGGGGTAGGGGTGGAAAGGGTGACCGTTTTATGAATTTGTGTTTAGATATAAATGAAGATGCTGCCTAATACTCGAGGTTCGTATTGACTAAAAATGGAAACACTTGTTACATGGAATACAAGTTCATCAAAGTTAGTCCTGCTTAAACAGAAAACCTGTAATTCGTTTAAATGTCATGTTATTCCTTCCTTTTACTTTAGATACGTTGCTAAAATACAGGGTTAACCACATAGCATGAGACTGAAAAGACGGCCTGAATCTTATTCAATTTGACAATTTCGGGATTACATTAAGTCTTGTTCCTTTAATATAATCTATTTGTGGCATATTCAATGTTTGGGTAAGAAGAGAAAAAAGTTGCAGGGAATCATCAATATAAGGAAACAGACAATATAAGTTTGTATGTCTGTATCTCAGAATATATTCTGAGATAGGAAGGCACAACCACATCTTTTTTACATCCGCGCCACAATTGACATGATAGCTCCCCGTTATTTCGTTTTCGTCCGACCACATCTTTTTTCGTCCACGGCATTGTTTTAATTCTTTTTTAAGTACTTTAAATTATTATATTCAAGTTTAAGCCACGTCATGTTGTTTATATTTGCTTAAATATTTTATTCTGTTTTTTTTTAATAAGATTACATCTTATAAATGTACGGTAGGCATAAAACAAGTCATTTTATTTTTATTTCATAATACCTCAAGCAAATCAAAACCAATTTCTATGTTCCCTGCTAAAAAATGTTAATTTTTGGTTGTAGAATAAAAAAATCCCAGCTCATTATAACCCAAAAGAAAACAACATAAAAGTGTGTGTTGCGTAAGAAAAATAGATGAGGCACACATATTTTCTGTTCTTCGCTAAATTGTGCTTAAATTTCGTTTTATTTTTCAAGCTAAATGCATTTTAGATAGAATCAACCCTAATTAATTAACAAGACGTTGTTCCTAAATTTGAAAAAGATGTTGTCAGGCAGACACAAATTAGAGAAGCAACGACAAAAAGGTGTGGTGTGCCTTCCCTCGCACCCTGAAGGGATATCTCTGATTGAAGGATTAAGTATTTATCATCAAATTTAAAAGTGTCTACATTGGATATCTAGATCAAGCCTTCAAGATTTGCAATGCTAGATATTAAATTTTAAACCTCAAAATGGGATAAGAAAAGCGCTTCCATTCCTAAATATTTGATTTGTGGAGTTTTGGTGAGGAAACACCTCCATCAATTCCAACATTTTCTCTGCAGATACATTTTATGAAATTCATTTATTTTTTGAAAACGACCTTTTTCAACCATCATCACTTCAACAATATATTACCATTCTATTCTCTATAATTCCCGTTAATATTTTTATATAATTTTCTGTTATAACGAGACAGTGAAAAATACAAACTGAGAGTGATTTTCAGAAAATAGATGTTAAACAGTTATATGGTAACACAGAGTAGTCGAACCTGTAAACTGTAAACTGAGTATATATATTATTATATATTAATATATATATATATATATCTTCTTACTTCATGTTTCTAATTCACTCTAAATTTTTAAATTCTACCCTCTACTCCATACTAACAACATTAAGTATTTGAATATATAGTGTACATATAGCTTTAAGATTCTAGTATACAGTATCTTAACCTACCTATAGTATCCAAGTATACAATATCTAAACCTACCTATAGTATCCAAGTAAACAGTATCTAAACCTACCTATAGTATCCAAGTATACAATATTTAAACCTACCTATAGTATCCAAGTAAACAGTATCTAAACCTACCTATAGTATCCAAGTATACAATATTTAATACGGTATCTAATAGTATACAGTATCTAGACCTACCTATAGTACCAAAGTATACAGTATGTAAACCTACCTATAGTATCCAAGTATACAGTATCCAGATTCCAGACCTACCTATAGTACCCAAGTGTGCAAGTGAACTTGATGAGACCTTGTGCGAAGCAGTCCGGATTCTCTGATAATAATTCCTAAACATTAAAACTTCAATAGCTTTCTAAGAATCTTTTTTATAACAACAAAGGAATTTATCAAAAAAAGAATATGTTCCATGGTAGAGACGCATTTCGGGAGGTAATTCCTCTCTGTTGAACTTTTCAGGGGGGCTCAGCCTCTGCTGGGGGCTGAATCCTCCCCCCCCCCACATGGAATCATTGTTTTTTCTTTTCATCAGGGCTCATCATCCATCATAGCCCACCCCTTGTATACGCTCATGATTTGTTTCGAGATGTACATTATACCATAACATCCCATTACTCCTAGTGTATTATTCGACTGTACTTGATAGCATTATATCCCATTACTCCTAGTGTATTATTCGACTGTAAGCGTAATTTCAAGTGACCCTCAGCAAAGAATGAATTCGAATTCCACATTTTTGTTTTTGAAAAATGTTTCTTTTGATTTTTGGTTTCTATGGAAAAGTGACTTGCACATATCTTACTTATTAGAAAGACTGGAAAAAATTACCCGGATTTGATACTTTTAAAAACGACAGTATTGGACATTGCCATCTTTGCGTGGAGGTTCACTTGAAATTATACTTTTAGTCCCTTTAAGTATTAAAAACCCCTTTTTCCATCTCATTAATTTTACTAATTTAGAAAAAAGTATCTTTAACCTGTATAAAGGAGAGAAACTTGAGGTTGGTGTTTACTTTTATTCTTCTTAATAACTTAGTTTCAGTTTCTGCAGTACACTTCATCTAGACAACGTAGTCAGAGGCACACTCAAGGGGTGGGGTTCTGGGTCCCCCCCCCACTCCCCTGAGTTCATCATCATCAATTCAGAGAATTCAGAGTCAGATCAAATCGGTTACATCCATTAAAGTTCTGATCAAAAAAGTATTCGGAAAAACTCCTAATTTCTATCACAAAAACGTTCTGCGGAAATAAATCATGGAAAAGCTTTTATTTCCTGTCGCGGTATGATTCCATTTGGTTTCATACAAGACAAATGTTGATAATCATACAATGTACAGTTCAAGCCATGTACAAGCTATACAACCAGGTGAAAAGGGGGTGAAAGTTTTTCACAAGTAAACTCAAATTAATAGTACATCATAAGTTACTTAGAAACTCTTAAAAAAAGATTTATGTAAACAAAATTACCCTTGTTTGCTCATGTTTCTGCAGTGTACTACAGTGTACTGCAAATCTTATGTATTTTCGTGACTGTATTTTCTAAAATTTGTCCATGACCTTTTTTCTTGCGACTTTATATTGTGTCAGTAAGATATCCCAAAGAACATCTTTAATTGAAAAAATAAGACTTTTTTAAGAACTCTAATAGGTTTTGGGGAAACTTTTTAATCTTTTTTTTACAGACTCTTTTCCAAATACTTTCTTTTCTAGATTTCTTTTACCGTTTTTTAATTTTTAATTCTTATGGAAGACAATTTCTGTCAATTATCTTTACTTGAGACCGCTGACAGTGACACTCTCCAGTTTACTTCAGTTTATTCCAGTTTATTCCAGTTTATTCTACCTTTTCCAGTTTATATTCCATCTCTGGACTCTCTTCCCTTTTCCTTCGGCCCAGGTTCATATTATCGTTGAGGTTGTTGTTATTGTTGTTATTATTATTATTGTTGTTATCATTTTCATCATTGTTGCTAAAATATGAAAGGTATTAAAACAATATTTTTTTCATGTAAATTTTTTTTAACATTTATTAACCTGTTGATATTGTTGATAATATTAACAATAGTGTTGAGGGTTATGAGAGAGAAGGATGAAAAAGAGGAGATTGAAAAGCAACCTGGAAAACAACGTTGTGTTTATATCAATACAATGAAGACGACTTTTCTCTTTTAGCTTTGCTCACTAGCAAGATCTTCAATTCAGGAGAGACATTAAACAGAGAAGCTGTCTTCTGATCTCTGTTTGTCTGTCTGTCATACCTTTTAAATAAAAGCTTGATAAAAACAAGGCTGAATAGAAAGTGGTCATAATTTGTGATTTTTTTAAAATGAATTCTTAAAAAATAAAGCACGCAACAAATTTCGAAAGGAAAGTCGTCTTTCTCTTATTAGTACAAAACCGCAAAAGTGATGGTAAAATAGTTTTTTAAACACTTTCTTTCAAAATAGACCAACAAAATAATAAAAAAAATAATGAAGGTGAGCAGCCAGTTTCTTTGTTAAATAAAATTCTATAAAGTTTATCTGTTTATATACAACATACAAGGTGTCCCACGAAACATGACAGTTTTAAATAGTTTTTAATGTAGTCTTCCATACACTGTATTAGATATTAAAAGCTTTATGCAGTTTATTTCGCTTAGAAATCTTTGCTCATATATATTTTACTTTGAAGTTAACTTTACTAAAAATGAATCCTATATAATATTTTTATTATTGTCTTTGGTATTAAAACAACTTAACAAATTATGGAAGAAGACATTCTTAACTATTTACCAGCTGTCATTGTTTGTGGGACACCCTGTATTCAAAAGAACTGTTTACGTAAATGATACATGACGAACTGCTCATTGATTGAAAGAACAACGGAGAAATTACCGGTTTTCTGTCTTTAATTATGTTTAATTCTACCGATTACATTCATTGTCTGTGCAGTACAAATCCGCAACTTATTTTTAAATTCAGAGAAACTAACATGGAAACTAAAATAACGTTTGGAAAATGCATGAGAATGTTTGGTTATATGTAGAGAAACTAATGCATAGAAACTAGATTAACGTCTCTAGAAATTCTTCTAGCAAAATTAATTTCTTACCGTCATCTCCCTTCCCCCTATACTCTTCCTGGAGGTTTGGTTTGAAAAATGCGTGGAGAATGTTTGGTTTGGTTGCTAAGTCCATCCTGTGTAATCTGCAGCACTATAGATTGACTTGAAGCGACTAAAGAAGGACTCTAAATATCTGCAGGTTAATGTAACGTTATGATTTCTACAATATCACGGTCTTATATTGTAAACCAGTGCACACTGCACACCAATGTATATGTAGAACTAAAGTTGTAGGATAGTGTTTGTTTATACAGGGTTTCTTAGTCAAATCTTGAAAAGAAATTTAAGGTAGAAGGCCTTATAGGACGTATAGGTATCGTCATGTTTTAAGATTTTCAGGTCGTCTTTACAGTTTCATTCTTTGTGGGTAACCCTGGGACGTATTGGGACTATATCGTAAAACTATATGTCTTAAGCATTAATCTCTGTTTGTTTGGATGTCCAATCATAACTTATGCACCCGTAGACCGATTTTGATTGGAGAACTGTGGAGAACAACGGGAATGTTCTTAGTCTGATTTTGAGATTCTAAGTTGAGAGAGTCTACTTTTAGAAGTTATTTTAAAACTCGTAATTTACGACCAAGCACGGGGAAACAGCAGGAGTAACTATGAGTAACAATGCAAACGTCGGGTTCCTAGGCTAGTAAATAATAGTTTTAATCAAATAGAATCTAGTACGATAGATGGCAACGTAGAATTTGTATACAACTGTTTTCTTACGTCACAAGTGCCAATTTTGTTTTTGTGTCCGACAAAATTTTTTTTAATAAAAGTGATAATTTTAGAATAAAGTGCATATCTTACAGTAAAATAAATGCAATTTTATCTTATTTTACACTTTTTTATTTAATCTTGGAAAACATTTATAAACTAATGTGAAAAAATTCTTTTTTCTTGTTATATTTGACACTTGTGACGTCGTGTATAATTAGTCCATTTCTCTGTTGCCACCTATTATACTTGATAATCTAAAGGAAACAGTGAATTTACAAGCTCTGCCTTCAAGTATTCCGACCTTTTAGTTTAAAATCTTCGTTATTGTTTTTATAAAACTAATTTCTAATAAAATGTGTACACAAATCCTTTGCCCCTCCCCTGAATCATTATTTTTGTTATATTGGTTGCACCTTTAAATTTTGCACAAAATTTCACAACCGGAAGAATACGAAACATCAGTTTACAATCGAAAGTACGAAAAATTAGGTCACAACCGGAAGTACGAAGAATTAGTTCACAACCGGAAGTACGAAAAATGAGTTCACAACCGAAAGTACGAAAAATTAGTTTACAACCGGAAGTACGAAAATCAGTTCACAACCGTAAGCACGAAAAATCAGTTTACAACCGGAAGTACGTTAAATTAGTTCACAACCTGAAGTACGAAAAATTAGTTCACAACCGGAAGTACGAAAAAATCAGTTCACAACCGGAAGTACGAAAAATCAGTTCACAACCGAAAGTACGAATAATTCCATTTCACAACCGGAAGTACGAAAAATTAGTTTACAACCGGAAGTACGAAAAATCATCTTTAGATAAATCCTTTAGATCTCATGAATTTAATTTTGAACCTGACACTTATATCTCAGCGTGCAACTATCTGATGGTATGTTTGATACAGGATTTATGATAAAATGTTCCTTGCAGTCGTATCTTGATTTTAATGCAAAATCAATCAACTAACAAAAACAAGTTCAGATAGAAAGTTATAATATCAACGTCTGATACTTTATTTTATTGTTCTTACTCTAATCACTCTCCACCAAGGTTCTTTAATAAGCTGGGTTACTCTGGATACGCTCCAATTTACGGAAAATGTCGTCTCCTTAGCATAGATAGATAGAATCCGCACATGACGTCACTGATTATAGACACGAGCGTGACGTCATATGCAGATTCTATCAATGCTATGGAGACAACATTTTCCGTACATTTTTTAAATATGAATAGAACTTTCATATTTTCTTGTTTAAAGGAGGGGGGGGGTAATTTTCCAACACACTTTTTGTTACTTTTAAATTTTTCTCACACCCTTTTTATAATAAATTTGCCTTGAAGAACTTGGTTGTGTGAATTCCAAGGGAAAGAACACAGACACCCCCCCCCCCGCTTTAGAGGGTTTAACAACACTTTAAATGTTTCTTTGTGCTAATGAGATGTATAAAATAAAAACCAAGAATGAGTAAACAAAATACTTTAACAAATTATGGACAAGTGAGTAACTTTATATACGTGGGCAGTTCTGTCTACACTGCATGTACAGTACAGGGTGGACAAAAATAAATTTGTAAATAATCTTGATATTATGAGGTTTCTTGTATACCTATTTTTATAATTTTTTGACGGGCTCCATCAATTCTGAGAAAAAATGATGCCAATCTAAAATATTCATAAATTTTTTCAACAATATTCATAAACATTTGTTAAAACTTGAAAAGTTAAAGGGATTGTGGATTCAATTTATAAGTGGCCCTATATTTATAGAGATGGCATATGTCCGATTTACAACGGTAAGTTTTAAACCTGTGTTCAGTTAAAGATGGATGAGATATCCTCTTTTTTCTAGCTGAAAATTTATTATGCAGAGAGAAAGCAGGAGATTTTCTGAAATTAACTCGTTTTAAAACAGAAAACGACGATATCTTCTAAATTGGTAGAAAAAGAAAGGTGCATCGTCGTTCATCAGACATGCCACTGGAACAATTCTAAACAGAAAAATCTATTGTTCATCTTTATAATTTAATTATAATTTTACGTTTGCTAGATAACTTTTGATTCTATTTTTGTATGTTGCTTATTAAATCTGGACACTAGGTGATGGAACTTAATTAATGTCGCATACCGATATAATCTCCCTGCTATACATGGTTTAAATGTAAACATTGTAAACCTTCAAACTAATCTGAAGGAAACTTACTCAAAATTACTGGTGCGACTTTCTGAGCTCGGAGCTCCTGTATTTTTGATTTTATCTATAATATGGGAAAAGAAAATTTATCCGGTTCTTCTCAATAGCTCTTCAATAGGAGGAGTTTTAATTCAAAACATTTAAATCAATTTACTTTAGTTATCTGACCTGTTATCTGAGCACTATTGAATTTTATTGAAATATCTATTGAACTGTTTATTGTGGTATAAAAGTGAAATAACTGCCCAATTCTACAAACCTGAATTAAAAACTTTAAGATAAACTTTTGGATTTATTAGTAGTGGGAAAGACGAGGGAGGGTAGTCGAGGGGGAAATAAGGGGTAGGGTGGATGGATGGTAGGGGTAGGGTAAAGAAAAGAACGGGAAGGTATAGGGTAGGGTGGAGGGATGGATAGGAGCAGGGTGGAGGGATGGAAGGGGTAGGGTAAAGAAAAGAACGGAAGGTATAGGGTAGGGTGGAGGGATGGATAGGGGTAAAGTGGAGGGATGGAAGGGGTAGGGTAAAGAAAAGAACGGAAGGTATAGGGTAGGGTGGAGGGATGGATAGGGGTAAAGTGGAGGGATGGAAGGGGTAGGGTAAAGAAAAGAACGGAAGGTATAGGGTAGGGTGGAGGGATGGATAGNGGAAGGCTGGAGGAAGATAAGGGTAAGGCAGGGGGAAGGAATGTAGCGGATAGTGGATCAGATATCCAGATATGGTTTCTGGATGAGGTAGTAAAATATCCAAGTAAGGATCGGGAAAGCCTGTAACTTTGAATAGTTTAAACACAGCAGTAGTTCATCGGAGCTCGGAGGGGTAACACGTCAAGTATGCAGGCAAGAAATAGTGTTAAATGAATCGTTTTTTTTTTGAATTTCCTTAGTTCAATTATAGGTTGCTTTATAGATGTAAAATATTTCTTTTCTACATAATTTCATCTCACATCACCTGTATATACAGGGTGTCCCAATAAACATGGGAATTGAGAGACGAGCTTTTCAAAAAGTGGTCTACGTTTCTTGTATCTTAAAAATTGACGAAGATATTCAATATTAAAACCATTTTGATTTATCAAAAAAATTTAGATTGGTACAAATTTTGCAATATCTCCGTTAATTTTGAAGATACAAAAAATTATGAAAATCTCATAACCAGGCTTTTTCAATATTATATGTATAGGATTAAATACTGCAATAATTGTGTTCATGAAAAACTGCCGCATTTATTGAAGACAATATAAACGTCGTCACTGAATTTCCATGTTTATTTGGACACACTGTATGATTTAAGAAGCGACAATGTCGCATAAAGAGCATCAGTTAAAAATTAAAATTGAATATGGGTGCAAAGCGTCCTGGAAGCTTTAGTATGAATAAAAATACCTGAAGAAAAGAGTTTATTTAAATTCACAAATTGTAAGGAACCATTAGCATGTACTATGTACTTCATGCAGTACACATGATACAGGGCACAAGGTACAGGGAACAGGGTACAGGATACAGGATACAGGATATAGGATACAGGGCACTAGGTACAGGGAACAGGGTACAGGATACAGGATACAGGATACAGGATATAGGATACAGGGCACAAGGTAAAGGGAACAGGGTACAGGATACAGGATATAAGATATAGGATACAGGGCACAAGGTACAGGGAACAGGGTACAGGATACAGGATATAAGATATAGGATACAGGGCACAAGGTAAAGGGAACAGGGTACAGGATACAGGATACAGGATATATGATACAGGGCACGAGGTACAGGGAACAGGGTACAGGATACAGGATACAGGGCACAAGGTAAAGAGAACAGGGTATAGGATACAGGATACAGGATACAGGATATATGATACAGGGCACAAGATAGATACAGTGAACAGGGTAGAATATGAGTAAAAATAAATAAAGGGTGCGGGTTCCCTAATTTGGCTTCAATGACTTGTTTTAAGAATTGAGTAAATAAATAGCTTGGAAGTGCCGTGCTTACAATTTGACAATGTTAATGTAAGATTTGTCTTGGCTTTATTATAAGTTTAGAAATTTTAATATTTCTTTCTTGATATTTATGTTGATTTCAATCTTTTTATCTATCTATCGATCTATTCATTGTAAACTTAGTTTTAAAAGTGATTATTTATTATTAATATCATCTATGATTTATCAACCCACGAAAGAGTTCGTGTTAATTAATGAATTCAAGGTTTTGTATTTTATGATATTTTATTATTAATTCTGTTTACGTAGAAATCTTCCACTTAGTATACGCTCTAAATCCTCTTATACCTACATATTACATTCAAGGATTAGATTATTAATATCTAACATTCATTACATTACAGTCCAGGGGCGGATACAGATATTTATTAGGGGTGAGTTAACCTTTCACGCGCGCAGGAAATTTGTTTTTGTTTTCTTGCGCACCCCTAAAATGTCTTGCACACTACTAGATTTAATCAAAAATTTAACAATTTTCTGTGTCACCTTTTATCTAATATATTTTCAGCTGTATGTCTGTATACACTCATTACATCGCATATATATAAATCTCATTGTTTAAAGCTATTATAAAGTCAAAATACAGAATTTAGCGCGAAATTTAAACTAAAACGAGAAAAACACTAAACGATCTTAACTCTTTTATTTTAACTATATGGAATGTATTTAACTATTTGTATTTTGGAATTACAGAATTTTCTCTATTTTCTGTATCCCATCCCTCAAGCTTCACCCTCAGGGGTGAGTAATCTAGGTTCAGGGGTGAGTAATTTAGGTTCAGGGGTGAGTAATCTAGGTTCAGGGGTGAGCAATTTAGGTTCAGGGGTGAGTAATTTTCCGGGCTGACCCTTGTATCCGCCGACCGTCAAATTAAGATAAATTTCATCTTAGATAAAATCATAATTTTTAAAATCATAATTCCTATTGTTGAAAAGCAGTGGACACACTCCTATGCCGCTTCAGTAATTGTAAATTAACGGTACAGTTCAACGTAGGACTGCAAAGGTTGACCCAGCTCGGATATTCAAATGTACACCGGTGGGACGTGTGGAGGAGAACAGGAAACGTTTTGAATTATATCGTGTTCAACCAACTCAACTTTATTTATCATATTTGGGTATAAACTGAAAACTAGAGGAGCTCCGACGATGTCTTACCAGCAATTTCGCATAAATTTAACCATACAGACACTACTCTCTGCATTTACTCTACAGTGGTAACCAGGAAACAGTGGAATGGTTACGTCTGCTTTCTTTCTTTTATTCATTTATCGACTGTTGGGAATTGAGTTTTTGTCTCAAACTCTAATTTTTTAATCTCAAAATTTTTACAACACAATGTCGTAGACCTCAGATATCTTAAACTATGATTTCTGTAAGATCAAATAATCTAAGTTTCAAATGTCAAAGGTTTGCATCAACAAGTCGCAAAGATATAGGGATTCGAAATTTAAGTTTGGGGCAAAAAATCATTTTCTTTCTATTATTTGAAAACTAAAAAATGTCTTGGGAACACATTATAAAAACTCCTAGTGACAATTCATAGGAAAAAGAAAGAAAGAGCAAATTTCATTGTTTTATGGTTACCACTGTCTAGTTATTTATCTATCTACCTGATGAAACTGTGTGGGTTTGAATTCGATTATCTTATAGTTGAAAGATTGAACGCTGTGCCGTGAGGGCATTCAACTCTATAATGGTGTTATACACATAAATTTACATATGGCAACCAACTCAAATATTTATAATTAGATTTTTTACTAAATTTATCATCATGAATTTGCCAACATCCATTATTATTATTATTATTATTATTATTATTATTATTATTATTATTGTTACCCAAAAAGGATGAGACTTCAGAGCACGAAACTTAAGACAGGGTATTGTAATGATTCCCAGTTTCATAAAGGGAGGCAAACATTTTAGTGGAAAACCAATAATTTTGTTGATACATATTGCATATTAATTTAAAAGATTTTTTATATTGCTTTTTTATTTCGGAATAATTAGAAATATAATAAAGTTATCAAGATGGATCCAAATCAAGAAACTCTCAATGCTCTCTACAATTTCCGAGGAAATTATTCTGAAGTGAAATCTGATTACTAGATTCTTTTTTGTGAAATCATTTAATTTATCCTGAAAAAAATATTATGTCTAGGTGAGGACGAAATTTGGTTTATAGATTATAATATTTCAATATTACAAACTTTACTTCGGTAAGGAAAATTTAATTGATAAAATGCAGATACAATATCTGTTTGTATTTTAACAAACAAACTTATCCTAGAAAGTTTTGACCTTGAGGGAACCAATTCAAACCCATGGGGAGGTCAACTACCTGACCTTAGAGGAGGTCAACTACCTGACCTTAGAGGAGGTCAACTACCTGACCTTAGAGGAGGTCAACTACTTGAACTTAGAGGAGGTCAACTACCTGACCTTAGAGGAGGTCAACTACCTGACCTTAGAGGAAGTCAACTACCTGAACTTAGAGGAGGTCAACTACCTAACCTTAGAGGAGGTCAACTACCTGACCTTAGAGGAGGTCAACTACCTGACCTTACAGGAGGTCAACTACCTAAAGAAAGGCAAATATTTGAGAACAACTTGCACAGCGTACTTTTTAATAAAGTGAATGGGTTTCCTTTAATTTATTTAAATCACAATTTTCTTATTCCTCATAAATTTCGAAATGCGAATAAAATTAATTTACAAATGTTTATTGTTCGATAAATCAAAATCATGTTTTACATTTCTCGATAAAAAAGTTGCATTCTGAATTTTTTTTTCAGAGTCACGATTCTTTACGTTTTAAAGCTATCTAAATATTTTTAACATCTTGTTTTTCAAATTTTTATTTAATTAAGATTTTCATTCATAAAAGGAGTGTCGACGTAATTTGAAATGGAATCCCAGAGTTTGTAACCTTTATCTGATTAACTATCAAAAAGATATCATTGTTTTTCTATCTTAAAAACAGATAAATTCTGCCAATTTCCCGTTTAAGATTAAAAGGGTAGCGTAGCAAATCAGAATTATCAAAATGTAGGATCAGTTGAATTTATGTCGACAGTTCATTTAGAAATTAGATTTCCCAATTATCCCTTCATAATTTCTGATTTTAAATATTTATATTAAATTAATTTCTAATTTTTAAATATTTGGTTCACAGAAGTGATGATGAAGGGTCTCTAGAAAAGGCAAAGGTTTGGAAGTTATCAAACAAACACACAATACACTTACACACAATACACTTAACAGACTGAACAGACTTAACAGACTGAACAGACGCAATAGACTTAACAGAATTAACAGACTTAACAGACTGAACAGACGTAATAGACTTAACAGACGTAACAGACTTAACAGACTGAACAGACGTAATGGACTTAACAAAATTAACAGACTTAACAGACTGAACAGACGTAATGGACTTAACAAAATTAACAGACTTAACAGACTGAACAGACGTAATAGACTTAACGTTTACTCATAACCTTTAAAAAAATTGTTTACTGAAAACCTTTAAAAGTAAACTGTTTAAGCAAAACTTTTAAAAGTAAACTGTTTACTCATAACCTTTAAAAGTAAGCGGTTTACTCAAAAATTTTAAAAGTAAACTGTTTACTCAAAAAATTTAAAAGTAAGCCGTTTAATCATAACTTTTAAAAAAATTGTTTACTCAAAACCTTTAAAAGTAAACTGTCTAAGCAAAACCTTTTATAGTAAACTGTTTACTCTTAACCTTTAAAAGTAAACCGTTTACTCATAACCTTTAAAAGTAAGCTGTTTACTCAAAAATTTTAAAAGTAAACTATTTATTCAAAAATTTTAAAAATTAGCTGTTTACTCAAAACCTTTAAAAGTAAACTGTTTACTAAAAATTTTTAAAAGTTAGATGTTAACTCATAACCTTAAAAAAATTGTTTACTCAAAACCTTTAAAAGTAAACTCTTTAAGTAAAACCTTTAATAGTAAACTGTTTACTCATAACCATTAAAATTAAACGGTTTACTCAAAAATTTTAAAAGTAAGCTGTTTACTCAAAACTTTTAAAAAGAAACTGTTTACTTAACATTTTTACTACTACTATTACTCATCGCCTTTAAAAAATTCTGTACTCATGACCTTAAAAAGTAAACTGTTTCTCAAAACCTTTAAAAGTAAACTGCTTACTCAAAACCTTTAAGAGTAAGCTGTTTACTCAAAACCTTTAAAAGTAAATTGTTGTGAATCGGACAAACCACTCTATATATATATATATGAAAGATCACTTGAAACTACTCCTACAGACCACTCTATATATATATGAAAGATAACTTGAAACTACTCCTACAGACCACTCTATATATATATGAAAGATCACTTGAAACTACTCCTACAGACCACTGTATATGTATATGAAAGATCACTTGAAACTACTCCTACAGACCACTCTATATATATATGAAAGATCACTTGAAACTACTCCTACAGACCACTCTATATATATGAAAGATCACTTGAAACTACGCCTACAGACCCTTTAAGAGATTTTCAATTATGACTAATGTTAGCTTTGACAGAAGCTGAGAAGATATAGGTCTGCACCATTTTTCAAATAATTTATTCGTTCGTTGCCAATATTTGGACTAAAATTAACTAGAAAACCTTGAATCAAAAAAAATAAAGAAGAAAAACAATAAGTAAACTAAAATTTAATTTGAAAAAAAATCATATGTATGCTGTTTTATGAAAGCTCTTAAAAGTACACATTTTGAAATACATTTACTATTTTGTAAATTCAAAAATAATTAAAAAATCAATGTTTGCTTTAAGATATTCTTTAGATTCGAATGTTTGCTGTGTCTGAAATTAAAGAAGTCAGATTTTCATTTATCACTGGCTAGTGGCTAGCTGAATATAAATTTTTGATCTTCTAAACCACGTCAAACCAAAGTAAACTGCCTGTACGTTTGAAATCTGGCCTGTTCTTTAATCATAACTCCCCTGATTAAAGAGATATCGAGAAGATCAAAAATGTTTTGAATTACTAATATTTGACTGTTTAAATATCTATGCCTAAATTGAAAAATTGAGGAACTTTGAAGTCACAAAGTCGCAACAGTAGGCAGTAATGGCAAATATATATGACCTCCTCCGGTTTAGTTTGCAGTGAAGGCCATATTGATATATATATAACCTTTTCATCTCAAAATCTTGAAAATATTGGGAATTGATAAAATTCTGATCTAGCCGAGCGTACTATATATATAAGTATATAAATGCTGACAGAAAACTATATAGTGCACATCTCTAAAAATATTCTGCGAAGAAAATATTATATTTCTGAAAAGCTATTGTTGTACCTGGTAGTTCAGGAACCAGGCTCAATATATTCTATTTGGATATATTAAAATCTGCACTTTGAATAAATTATATCAAGAGCGGTTACGTTAGCGGTTATTGTAACGTATGTCTGTATGTTAGCGGTATATGTAACGTATACGTGTATGTTAACGGTTAACGTAACGTTATGTTAGCAGTTAACCTAACGTATGTTTGTATGTTAGTGGTTAATGTAACGTTATGTTAGCGGTTAAAGTACAACGTATATGTGTATGTTAGCGGTTAAAGTACAACGTATATGTGAATGTTAGTGGTTAACATAACGTATATGTGTATTTAGTGGTTAAAATAACGTTATTCTAGCGGTTAATGTTACGTATATGTGTATGTGTCAGTTCGTTAAAGGGACTGAAAAAGTATTTTCTCAGATTCACAACGGTACTTTTTAAACCTTCGACTGATCATCGATGGGCAATGTCAGATTCGCAACAGTACCCTTTAAACTTTTGACTAATTATAGAAGGCAAAGATGTTAGTGTATTATCTTTGAAATGTTGTGTAAAAAGCCGTAAATTAGAGTGTACACTAGCGTACTGTGTGAACTCAACGCGGCTGATGTCGCATTTTTCCTGGGTTATCCAGAATTGATACTACGCAGTACGCGGTTTTATACAATTCTAATGACAATATAAGTATTCTGTCACCTTCTATAAAGAAAAAAAACATTAAAATTGCCATAATCCGAAAAATAAAATAATTGTTTGCGACCTTTTATAAGGTTCTTTCTTCTTTTTGGATAAACATGTTCTTTTTGTATAATCATTTTTTGCCTGTCAACTGTCCAGGTTGGAGTTGAGGAGAGGTGCGTGGAGAAGGTGGTTATGGAAACCAGGATGGAGTATAATGAGTCAGTTGGTAAGTCATAGCTCAAGTGCTCGGCGTTGCCAGTAGAATTTCAATAATCAAACCAAATCAAATATTTATCACATGAAGATTCACAAAAAAGGATCAATCCACATGAGGATAAAAGAATCTGGTGGGCCAGGTCTTCATCAATTTCCCTGTAAACACCTTAGTGTCCGGGGGGAGGGGGGGGGNAGGGAGTGACCGGCTATGTAAGGTAGTTGAACTGAGTATGCAATGTTTTGGACAACTTCTTTCGGATTCATTTAAGACATATTAAACTTTTTAAAGATTTGTAAATCCTGAGTTTGAGCTCAAATTCGACGTTCAAAACTCCTACTTTGGGTGTGGATACGTTTTCAGAATAATTTTTTTAAAAATTATTAATCAATGACAACGAAAAATAAAGTAAAAATTATACAGTAATCTAATTAGATGGTCTGTAGTTTATTGTAGAACCTTTTTTACATTTTATTATTATTAATTTAATAATAAAAAAAATCTGAAAACGTATCCACCCCCAAAGTAGGAGTTTTTAACGTCAAAATTGCGCTCAAACTCAGGATTTACAGATTTTTAAAACGTTTTATATGAAACAAATGAATCCGAAAGAAGTTTTCCACAACACTGCATACTCATTTTAACTACCTTACATAGCCGGTCACTCCCTTTAATAAATTACACATAACAACAAACATTATCATATTTAACAAGGAAAATGTAAAAAAGTCAAATGTTTGTAAGAGAATAGATGTATAACCCATTTTTAAAATGCAAAAAATGTATATCAGAATATACATAAAATCTAAGTTTTAAAATTAGATGAATAAAGTGATTGACATATCAGGGAAGTATTCAGGAATCTGTCAAGGGGGAGTTAATTTTTTTTTCTTTCCAGGGGGGCACAGCACCCATTTGGGGCCTGAAACCCCCATGAAATCAATAGATTTCACTGGTCCAGGGGGGCACAGCACCCATTTGGGGCCTGAAAACGGTGTGGTAACAGTTCGCCCAATCACGTTTCACCCAATAACATTTGACCCAAAACGTTTCACCCCATTTTTGGTGAAATAGCGTTTGACCCAATAACGTTTTACCCAATTCACGTTTCACCCAAATTACGATTCACCCAACTCACGTTTCGCCTAAGTTACGTCTACTGAAGAGTTTCACCTAATTTTTTTAAATTCCTCTAACATACATTGCACATGAATTTATTGCCCAATTTCCGATCATAACTCATAAACTCTTGGACCAATTTACCTCAAATTTTGATTGGGGAAATCAGGAGAATCATTGAAATCTTCTTAGATTGGTTATAAAATTCTAATCTGAGTGGGTCGACTCATATATACAAACAAAGCTGGGTTCCAGAGCTAGTCAAATATATTAATGTATAATGTTGTAAATCCGCAACTTTTGTGCTTGAAATCTGCAAACCACATTTGAGCTTAACATGGCGGCACAGTTTACATGTAGCTAATTACATAAATGTTCGAAACGGAGGATAGCTTGGCCAGGACCAAGCTACAAGAGCTGGTTACAGTCAGACGTGCCAACCCTAACCGATCTAGAACTGAACGTCGGTCAGCCCGGATGGCAAATCTAAAGGTTGCACTCCAAACCTTCAATACCAACTTCATCAAGGAGTTCATATTTAGACTCCGAGAGGATGACTAACTTGAGCAGTACCAGACTAGAAAATCAACTGTGTCCTTATGCATGTATACAGCTTTTATAAATTCAAAGATAAAGTTATTATTTTTCATCCCCTTTCATCCCCTTTCATCCCCTTTCATCCCCTTTCATCCCCTTTCATCCCCTTTCATCCCCTTCTAGTTAAATTAAGAAGAAAATTATCTCCTCTGCAGAAACGGTTTAGTTTAAGGATATGCAGATGCTACGTGGGGCCGGGGGCAAATGTATAATGTTTAATTTGTTTCGGATTTGCCGCCAATAAGTAACATAATTATCTCTTTATAGATTTATATATTAGATAAGTCAATAACTATAAGTCGACGGTAGTAAAATAACGAAAATAACACAATAAGAAGTCTGAAGAAAGCATACGCAGTTTGGATTTCTGATGCGACATTTTTCTTAAAATAGGACAATTAGAACGGAATAAAAAGTTCGTAAAATATTTATATTTAAATAAAATTGATATTTGAAATATTTTCTTATTTTGCAGAATGCACTCATAGTTATGATCAACGGTGCTACTCGTCTGTGTCTACAATATTCAGTCCTATTCAGGTAAATGGTGTCCCAAAAAACATGGGAATTGAGTGACGATTTCGATATCGTCTTTTTAAATAATTTTTTGATTTAGTATAGTGATACCTACTGAGAAAGCTGTAATCCGTAAGATTTTCGTCTGCTATATTTACAATTTGTTTGCTTACGTTTTGACTGCATACGGTTGTACTTAGTAAGTAAATTACACTGTTCATCGATTGCAGATCATCTTTACAGGCATTTACCGTTTTAATAATAATAAACCTTAACATACTTGATAATATTATGGCTTTAGAAATTAGGTACTACAATGCTAATTCTTAACAAAGACGATATCGAATTCGTTACTAATTCCCATGTTTATTGGGACACCCTGTAGATAATATTCATAACAGGATAGACAGTTTTAATAATAGAATAGACAGTATTCATATCATAATAGACAGTTTTCATAACAGAATAGACAGTATTCATAACAGAATAGACAGTTTTCATAACAGAATGGACAATTTTCATAACAGAATATCCAGTATTCATAACAAAATAGACAGTATTCATAACAGAATAGAAAGTTTTTATAATAGAATAGATAATATTCATTACAGAATAGATAATATTCATAACAGAATAGACCATATTCATACCAGAATAGACAATATTCATAACAGTATAGACAGTATTTATAATAGAATAGATAATATTCAAACCAAAATAGACAATATTCAAAACTAAATATGTTACATTAACAACAGAATAGATAATATTCATAACAGATAGGTAACATTCATAACAGACTAGATAATTATTCATAAAAAAACAGATAATTTTCATAACAGAATAGATAATATTCATAACAGAATAGATAATATTCATAACCGAATGAATAATATTTATAACAGAAAAGATAATATTCATAACAAAATAAATAGTATTCATAAAAGAAAAGATGATATTAATAACAGAATAGATAATATTCTTAACACAATGGATAATATCTATAACAGAAAAGATAATATTAATAACAGAATAGATAATATTAAAAACAGAATAGACATTAGACAGTATTTATAACAATATATAAAGGATTGTTATATTGAAGTAGGAAAATATACAATATATATAATATTGATATTGAAGGAAGAAGAGTGTGAGGAGAACTATATAAAGGATTGTTATATTGAAGTAGGAAAAGCTGCGCTAAATGTCAGCTCTAAAATCTGCAGGTCAAGTTGTATCTTTATCCTTAAAAAACTTAAATTTAAATTTGGTCGGACCTTTTGTATGGGCCAGCTGTTATTTTCTCAATTATACATTTGCCCAGCTGTTATTTTCTNCATAAAAGGAGTGTCGACGTAATTTGAAATGGAATCCCAGAGTTTGTAACCTTTATCTGATTAACTATCAAAAAGATATCATTGTTTTTCTATCTTAAAAACAGATAAATTCTGCCAATTTCCCGTTTAAGATTAAAAGGGTAGCGTAGCAAATCAGAATTATCAAAATGTAGGATCAGTTGAATTTATGTCGACAGTTCATTTAGAAATTAGATTTCCCAATTATCCCTTCATAATTTCTGATTTTAAATATTTATATTAAATTAATTTCTAATTTTTAAATATTTGGTTCACAGAAGTGATGATGAAGGGTCTCTAGAAAAGGCAAAGGTTTGGAAGTTATCAAATAACATACAATACACTTAACAGAATTAACAGACTTAACAGACGTAATAGACTTAACAGACTTAACAAATTTAACAGACTTAACAATCTTAGCCGACTTTACAGAGATTAAAAACTTAACAGACTTATCACACTTAACAAAATCTAACAGACTTAACAGTCTTAGCCGACTTTATTAATTATAAGACGACAGATTTTAATTATGCTTAATAATGCTTACACTTGCTTATTCATACATTGATTTTGCATATTACACTCGTAACTTATAACTTTTAAAAGTAAACTGTTTACTCAAAAATTTTAAAAGTAAGCAGTTAACTCAAAACCTTTAATTGTAAATTGATTACTCATAAACTTCAAAAGTTAATTGTTTTCTCAAATCATTTAAAAGTATTCTGCTTACTCAAAATCTTTAAAAGATCACTGTTTACTCAGAACCTTTAAAAGTTTACTGTTTACTCAAAATCTTTGAAAGTTCACTGTTTACTCAAAATCTTTAATAGTAAACTTTTTACTCAAAATCTTTAAAAGTTCACTGTTTACTCAAAATCTTTGAAAGTTCACTGTTTACTCAAAATCTTTAATAGTAAACTTTTTACTCAAAATCTTTAAAAGTTCACTGTTTACTCAAAATCTTTAATAGTAAGCTGTTTACTCAAAACCTTTTAAATTAAACTGTTTACTCAAAACCTTAAATAGTAAACTGTTTATTCAAAACCTTTAAAAGTTAACTGTTTATTCAAAACCTTTAAAAGTAAGCTGTTTACTCAAAACCTTTAAAAGAAAATTGATTACTCATAAACTTTAAAGTTAATGGTTTGCTCAAAACATTTAAAAGTATACTGCTTACTCAAAATCTTTAAAAGATCACTGTTTACTCAAAGCCTTTAAAAGTAAGCTGTTTCTTCAAAACCTTTAAAAGTAAACTGCTGTGAATCGGACACACCACTCTATATATATTAAAGATCACTTGAAAGTACTTTACAGAGTACAGACCCTTTTAAAGATTTTCAATTAAGACTAATTTAGCTTTGACAGAAGATATAGGCCGGCACCATTTTTCAAATAATTTATTCGTTTGTTGCCAATATTTGGACTAAAATTAACTAGAAAACCTTGAATTAAAAAAATTAAAGAAGAATAACAATAAGTAGACTAAAATCTAATTAAAAAAAAGTCAAATGTATGCTGTTTTATGAAAGCTCTTAAAAGTACACATTTTGAAATACATTTACTATTTTGTAAATTCAAAAATAATTAAAAATTCTTTTAAGTAACCCTCTATGCAAAGATGGCAATGCCTGATTCACAACAGTACCTCTAAAAACTGAGTCCGATCAAGTATGAATTAGATATCAATGTTAACAATTTTCAAATACTGATTCTTGCCAATCATGGTTTCTCTGCAAAAGTATTTTACGGAAGGAAACATAGAAATTTAAATATCTTCCATATTATTGATCCGGAGCCCCGCAAAACTGTCTCCAAGCCTTCACCATTCTGTCTTTATGCCCTGCATTTTGGTCTCCATAAAAGATATTTGGCTTGTACAATAAAAAAACCATCTTTATAAAATTAACTCTTCGTTAAAATAGTTTTTAATAATCCATAAGCAATTTGTTTTGAAATCCTAGCTACAGGCCTGTTTTAATTTGTAACTTTAATAAGTTAGTTATAATAAAGAAATGGAAAGTTGTCATTATAGTATTAAATGCTGACTTCTGTATCCTAAAAGTGTCTTCCAGATTTTTGGGAATACAAACAACCTCATTACTTTATCAGTTTTTATGTTTGAATTTTAAAAAAATAAAATATATTTACTTTTCTGCAGTTGTCACGGCCAGACCTCGCAGACGGAAAAGTAAACAATCTTCAAAGCATTGAAATAACAATAAATCACTTTTATCTTACAAATTCTAGTTATTCTCTGCAATTCGTACATTTTTCATAATAAACCAAAATATGAAAAATACTTATAATTTTTTAATAAGAAAACAGAGTAAACAAATGCACTAAAAAGTCTTTACTAATTGCATGGAAAACCATTAAAGAAAAGTGTATTTAATAATCTTCATAATAACTTTATTAAGTTAAAAATAAAAATAAATGGAGGATTAAAAATCTTTTTAAACAAAGGATTATAGAAAAAAGCTTTTCAACAAAAACAGTTGATAACGTCATAATCTGGCCTAAAGACAAAATTTGTTTAAGATTTGAAGAAAATGAGATTGAACTGAGCTAGGATTACTGAGTTCTAAGAATATAATAAACTGGAATATTTCGCTGCTCTTCTCAAAACTTACATTTTATTGTGAAGCAAAAACAAATTGAGATTTTAAAAGTTTTTGAAAAAAGGGGAAACGTATCAAAAATATGAGGAAACGGACCTAAAACTTGAGGAAACCGATCAGCAAATTGAGATTTTTAAAGTTTTTGAAAAAAGCGGAAAAGGATCAAAATATGAGGAAACAGACCTAAAATTTTAGGAAAGCGATCAACAACTTGATATTTTTTAAGTTTTGGAATAAGCAGAAACGGATCAAAAATATGAGGAAACAGCCCTAAAATTTGAGGAAACCAATCAACAAATTGAGATTTTGAAGGTTTTTGAAAAAAGTGGAAACGGATCAAAATATGAGGAAACAGATCAAAAATTTGAGGAAAGCGGTCAACAATACTGACTATTTTTGATATTTTATTGATTATGCAACAAAATATTTTTAATTTTAGAAAAGCTTTAGTTAAAGATTGCGAAGATACGAGTGAAAACACAATTTGCTCTTCACAGGGATATTCATATAATACACATTTAATCTTTTTTCTTTTTTTTTCTCATAAAAACAAATTTTCTAAAGTTAAACCCTAAATATTAAATACATCGAAAGAGTTTATGAAATGTTGTCTTGACAATTTTTCATTGGTTTTTATACTATTTTACGTAAATCTCAGTATTTGCGAAAATAAATAGATAGCCATGAATATGCGGGAACAGTTTTAAAGAGTTCCATATAATCATTTAATTAAAAAACTAAATATCTGCAACATTCCATTATTANACAATAAAATTAATATTTCTCTATATTTATTGTAGAATACAATAAAATTAATATTTCTCTATATATATTGTAGAATACAATAAAATTAATATTTCTCCATATATTTATTGTAGAATACAATTAACTTTAATATTTCTTAACATATTGTAAGATACAATAAAATTATTAAATGAATACTGTTTACAGTATGAAGTAGAATGCGAAACAAATCTACGTGAACACCAGGTTTTATAATCTTTACATTTTTAAACTGTTCATAAATTCCCCTGTATAAAGGTAAAGGATAGTTTTTAATGAATACTCTTGTGTAAAGGTAAAGGATAGTGTTTAATGAATCCCCCTGTATAAAGATAAAGTATAGTGTTTAATGAATCCCCCTGTATAAAGGTAAAGTGTAGTGTTTAATGAATACCCTGTATAAAAGTAAAGTACAATGTTTAATGAATCCCCTTGTATAAAGGTAAAGGATAGTGTTTAATGAATCCCCCTGTAGAAAGGTAAAGTAAAGTGTTTGATAAATACCCCTGTATGAAGGTAAAGGATAGAGTAGAATGTATCAAAGGATAGAGTAATAATGAATCCCCTTGTATAAAAGTATAGTATTTAATGAATCCCCGTGCATAAAGGTAAAGCATAGTGTTTAATGAATCCCCCTGTATACAGGTAAGGGATATTGTTTAACGAATCCCCGTGTATAAAGGAAAAGGATAGTTTTAATGAATCCCCGTGTAAAGGTAAAGGATAATGTTTAATGAATCCCCCGTATAAAGGTAAGGGATAATGTTTAATGAATCCCCCTGTATAAAGGTAAAGGATAATGTTTAATGAATCCCCCTGTATAAAGGTAATGGATAATGTTTAATGAATCCCCTGTATAAAATTAATGGATAATGTTTAATGAATCCCCCTGTATAAAGGTAAAGGATAATGTTTAATGAATCCCTCTGTTTAAAGGTTAAGGATGATGTTGTTGACTGTAAAACAGAAAATGAGGAAAAATGTGAAGAAATTATTCAGGAAAAAATACTTTTTCATTTAAATCATCTAATCTTTTTTTAATGTTTTTCGTTCATCTCTTTTTTAAGATTAAGAGACTGTATACGTAGTTTTTAGTGACTCCCACCATATATTAAGGGACTGTATACGTAGTTTCAAGTGACTCCTCTCCATATATTAAGAGACTGTATACGTAGTTTCAAGTGACTCCTAGAATATATTCGATGTTTTCTTACGATTCGTTTATTTATTCATTCAGATATGTTTGGCCCGTAAAATAGCTTCACAGGGAGGTGTTATTCAATATTCAAAAGGAGCAATTGAGTAACATCGAGTATGTGATGACATCAGTGACGGGGTTTTAAAATATTAGGCTTACTCTGAACAAAATTAAATTCAAAATTAAAATTAAAATAAATTATAAATAAATTCTTTATATTCGGTTGCAGAGAAAGAAAGTAAACTTAGGCGCTTTGATCATTAAATTGTAGGAAATAATAAACTTTTTAGGAAAAAAAGTATTACATGTTTTTACCCCCTACAAAACTTCGAACATTTTCCTACTTATTAAATATATAAATTTGGCTTGTCTGTCTGTTTGTTTGTTTGTTTGTCTGTCTGTCTGTTTGTATCCAATAAACGTCAAAACACCCTCAATACAAAGATGGCAATGNATCAAAATTCGATCTTCATTAAATTTTTGAAAATTTTGTAAATCCACGAAATTTTTGTGAAAATCCGCGAATTATTTTTGTTTTGTTTTACGATGTACACAAAGAGAACATGTTCACAATTAATTTAGAAGATGGGCGCGAAGCGCCCTATAAGGCTAGTATTAAATATTTTTGAATTATTGAATAAAAAAGTATAATTTCTCTGACAGGGATATTCTACCATATCACATTGTCAACAGGTATAATTCAGTGCTACGTAATTATAGGATATATTCAATTTTGATCCGGGTCCGGGATTCGTTCGGGAAAAAAAGATCCGGATCAAGATCATAAAACTTAAATGGTGAGAGATCTAGAGTATAAGGTTTATCCGAGGATCTATTATCTTGTGTTGTGTAATCCTACAAACTAAATTTAATCCTCTTGGGATATTCCCTAATGGTTGTTACTTTTACAATTGAAGGATCAAACATGTATCCCTTAAATCTAAAAGTTGTAAAAGTGGATATCAAGCGTTGAAGATTAATTCATTTCAGTTTTGACTTTTGTGTTTTTCAAGTTATCTGTATGTTTTGGTTGATATTTTTTCATCGAGTAACCGGATTGGTGGATTTGCTAATTTTTCCAGATCCAGATCCTAAGAATGAGTTAATTAAAAAAGTTTTTATGTTTACAAGATTTTTTCGAATTACAAGTTTACAAGTAACCAAAGAGAAGCATTTTATATTGACAGCTTCTCTTGACTTATATCCCTCTCCGCTAAAACCAACTATTTATTCGGTCATAGTAGATCTCTGCAGCAGTACGTGACAAAAGTTTAGTTTGGGGTGCTATGTTTATGTATAATTGTATCTATGTTGTTTAGCAGCTTAACATAAAACAAAAATTGAAATCGAAAGTCGTCTTAATTGTATTGATAAATTCGCCTACCACTGTATTACAACTCACGTTGCAGATTAATTTCAACGGATGATAAAATTTCTAGATTTTAGTTTGCAAATTATTTAATTCTTTGAAAATTTAGATATATATATATATATTGTTTTATCTTCTACAGTTCTTAAATATATCTACTTGGGTCGAGATGTATTTGAAACAAAATATTAATTTTCCTTCGGCAAAAGTATTTATAACAACGTGACCTTTTATAACATGTATTTGGTAAAGTTTTTCTTATGAATATATATATGTATATATATAAACCAAATAAATGTTATAAAAGGTCACCACGCTGTAAATTCTGTCGCCGAGGGAAATTTAATCTTTTGTTTTAAATACATCTCGACCCAAGTAGATATATTCAAGAACTATAGAAGATAAAACAGTTGTGTGCAATGGCGCTACTCTACAACGCTTGATCTTGATATTCACTGTGACAACTTTTAAATTTGAGAGATGAANTAGGGGCTAAGCATCATAATTTACACTCCAATTTGGATTGGTTAAAATATTATCATTTTTTTCTCTGATAACGTGTTAAAATAATTATCCTGAAAGATTAGAATACTGTTGACTTGTCAATTAAGTTCAAGTTACAAAAACTGAGTTCTTGACACGAACTTAAATTTTCGTATCCTTTGTCTTTGTAAAAGCATTCATAGATATTGTATACTTAGACTAACTAGCAGAAGTCAGAACTTCTATGTTGATTTCTTTTCTTCGAGATTAGAGATTAATTTAGTTCCTCGTCGATACACAGTTTAGGTTGTCATACCCTGCAGGGATACACAGCTTAGGTTGTCATACCCTGCAGGGATACACAGTTTAGGTTGTCATACCCTGCAGGGATACACAGCTTAGGTTGTCATACCCTGCAGGGATACACAGTTTAGGTTGTCATACCCTGCAGGGA